CTTTTCATTAAAATCTTTATTAATTCCAAAAATGCTTACATTTGTCTTTTTGTTCGCTCTGGCAACCATGTTGCCGCTGTAGCCAGTTTACGCAGAGATAATTCATACCCCTTCGTTTGAAGTGTGGTCCCAAAAATCTTCGTTTGAAGGGCTGTCTGGCCCTTCCCCTACCCCTCCACCCAAAAGAGAATCGAGACACCCCTGCCCCTTCACGTGAACACACGAAACGGAGGGGTAGGGGAAAGGGGTAGAATTGGGATTGAGCCTAAGTGTCGTTGCATTATAATGTTTTTGTTAGCCTATCCAGGTGAAGCCACTAGATGTGGCGCTGCTGCATTGTTCATTAAAAATATTGCGGAAAAAGAGAACATCAATGCGGAGAAGATCTTGTTTACATCAAAACTGAAACCAAAGCCGTTCACACTGAACACATTTCGCACATTTTCTAGAGGGACATCTATCACCATTGCACTCGGATCATTAAATATTATTTTAAACATTATGCACTTTTTTCCCACAGATAGTCATTATGCTTTGAATAAACGTGCATTAGTAATATTTTGATCGAGAGAAGCCAAAAGCTTTTCTTCACCCTAACTGAAATTATGCATTTTAAATTCGAATATAATTAGAATTTTGATAATATTTAAGTACAAAATTCAAATGTAGTTTTTCAGCTATTTTGACAGCCCTACATCAAACCGTGCAAATTATTATTACTGTTATACTTTAACAACATCAGCATTGCGTGACTGTGTATAAAGTGTGTATTAGCGTGTAAATTTCAATTTCTGTACAGTCTAATCTCTAATTGTCATACTATTCAAATTTCATATTAAAGGGGTCATATGATGATTTAAATTTTTCCTTTCTCTTTGAAGTGTTACAAGCTCTTGGTGCATAAAGAAGATCTGTAAAGTTGCAAAGACTAATGTCTCAAATCCAAAGAGATATTCTTTATAAAAGTCGAGTCAACCACGCCTACCTAAAACGGCTCGTTCTAACATGCCCCCACATGTCTACATCACGATGTGGGAATATTTGCATAATGCCACCCAAATGTTCACGCAAAGAAAGAAGGCGTAACTTTTATTCTCGCTGTAGTATTGTTGCTGCCGCCATGTCGTGAAGGCGCTGTGTTTCTCATTGTGAATGCAAAACTACTTAGTTTGGCCTTCCAAAAGAGAACGATATACGCTTCGTCATGCCTAGAGCTGATCCGTGCTGGTCGCTGAGGAAATACATCAACTTTGCGCTGTTGATCGCCGGATCGGCTTTCACCGTGGACGAAGCGGAGTCATCACATGTGGTTGCCACAAGCCCGCCAGCCGCTCCTTCGTCGAATCCGCCAACCTCCACTCACTCTAGCCGCCCCGGCCTCCGCTCACTCTAGCCCTCCGGCCTCCACTCACTCTAGCCGCCAGCCTCCGCTCACTCAAGGCCACCGTGTGTGACGCTGTGTTTCTTTGTGAAAGCGACACTACTTTGTTGGTCTTCCAAAAGAGGACAGGACTAGAAATCAGTGGTTAAGTTGTATTTACAACACTGTTCCAGAACAGTTCAACCCAAATATTCAGATGTGTGCAGCACAGTTTATGGAGGACTGTTTCCTGATCCTGGTAGAGTAGACTACAATGCCAGCTGTTCTGACTCACAGACTGCAAGTATGTTTTTTGTGTATTACGAATATGCCACTGATGATTCAAACGCAGTTTTCATCCAGGTGGATGCTGCACACTGGTGGTGGATGAGGAGATACCCCCTGACAATGTAAAGCGCTATGAGTGCCTAGAAAAGCGCTATATAAATGCAACGAATTATTATTATTTATTATTAGTTTTGAGCAGTGTAGAGTAGCATTTGTTGTTTGTCATTTCTCCGATCACAAATGCAGACACGGTTATATGTTTACGCGGCGCGAGGCAACGCATCAAAGACAGTATAAGTCATTATAATCTGTAATTATGTCCCCACTGGATGCAACTAATGCCTGGTTTATAATGGGTTTTGGAGAAGCAATAATGAACAGTTTGTGGAAAATAATGTGTTTTTTGAACCTTAAACCGCATAAACACATTTCATTACACCAAATACACAAAATAATGTTCTTTTTACCAACATCATATGACCCCTTTAAGAAATTTTTAACCCAAAAAGCAAATTATTCTTCTTTCGAACTGGTTCTCTTTAAAATACAAATCCTGTGTAATCCCAGGCTATCTGTAATCAGATGCACATTTAAAACTGGAATATAATTACATTTCTGTCACATGCGTTTCATAAACGCATAATCTTTTGACGTAATGACGTGGCGGCATGATGGAATTTCCTGCAAATTTTTACCAGTACCACTCAAATTAGAAAACATTATTATAAGCTAACCATTGTGAATCGGCTAAAGTAAGGTGATAGTTTTGAAAACTGGCTGATTATGTACTTACTCAAAAATTGATTTCGGATAATTTTTAACCAAAACAATTTACGGACTGCAGCTTAACAGAAGCATTCAAGTAAGAAATAATACAGGAATTGAATAATCAAATGTAAAAAAAAATCACTGCGTAGTCTTCAGTGTATTAATTACAAATAAATGTATTATTAAAGTTGCAAAACTTGTTCAGTCAAGGGTAGTAAATTATTCCCACTTTTGTTGTTTGATTAACATAAATGACAAACAGCAGCAGGTTTATTATATTAAGACAAATGCATGGATTTAATGTTACACACAAGATTTTGCCCCAACTGTTTGTTCATGTAAGACATAACCGACTATGATAAGAAAAAAATATGGAGAATCCAATTTGTAGTAATCTAATTCTTCAAACAAATAGAAAAAAGATGGTTATTTTGTTTTTATGCAGCAATGCATTGTAAAATGACTATATTCCTTAGCTCTAATAGTAATATTGTGAAATATTATCACAATTTAAGTTTTGTCAATGTAAGATAGACTCTGTTTTCTATTGAAGTATATTTAAGTTGGCTTGAGAAATCCAATTTACTGATCTACTATTTAAACGTATTATTATTGTTCTTCTGAGCCAAATTTCGACACCTATCTCATCTTAGAGCTTTTAAGCTAGAACCACCAAACTCGACCCAGACCTTCAGACTGGTCTGACTCGGTGTGCTATATCTTTTCTAACTGATCCGGCTTACGGTTTTCGTAAACCAGACTTATCAAAACCACCTAAAATCATGGCCCATAGACTTTCTTTGAAAACTTGTATACAATGAACCCTTATGGTGTATTTAAGCTGTCTATTGCTATAGCAAAGCTTAACAACTCTCTACTGAAAAAACTGCTAAAACCAGCCTAAGCTGATTGACTACTTTGGTTGGTTTCCCAAGCTGGTTTTAAAGTGGTTTTGGCCACTTTTTTAGCAGGTCAGGCTGGTCTTAGCTGTTTTTTTAGCTGTTTTATTTTACTAAATCAACTGGTGTTAGCTGGATTAGCATATAAACATGTTAACAACATGCTAGTAACTTGCTAATCATGTTAGAAACATGCTAACAAAATGCTAGTAACTTGTTAATCATGCTAACAACATGCTAATCATGCTAGAAACATGTTAGCAACATGCTAATCATGTTAACTACATGCTAGTAAAATGCTAATCATGCTAGAAACATGCTAGCAAAAAGCTAATAACTTGCTAATTATGAGAACAACATGCTAGTAATATGCTAATCGTGCTAGAAATGTGCTAGCAACTTGTTAATAATGCTAAAACATGCTAGTAACATGCTAATCATGTTAGGAAAATGCTAGCAACTTGCAAAACATGCTAGAAACATGCTAGAAACATACTAATCATGATAGCAACTTGTTAAACATGCTAGAAACATACTAGTAACATGTTAATCATGCTAGTAACGTGCTAATCATGTTAACATGCTTGTAACGTGCTAATAATGCTAACAACATGTTAACAACATGTTAGTAACATGCTAATAGTGTTAGAATCATGCTAGTAACTTGTTAACCATGCTAGTAACATGATAGTAATTTGCTAATCATGCTAACAACATGCTAATCATGCTAGCAACGTGTTAACCATGCTTGTAATGTATAGCTGTGTAAGTTCATTTTAATTTATCTATCTATCTATATCTATCTTATATTGCCTTCAAAACATTAAAACTTTAAACTGTAGAACTACTTAAAGCTATTACAATGTTTTCAACCTTTCTGGCCTGGCTTTTTCAAGCCAACTTTAAAGTTTGACATCAAACTTTACTCATCTAGTTTAAAATGTAATTCATTCCTATGATGGCATAGATGAATTTTCAGCATTTTTTCCTCCAGTCTTCAGTACCCACAATCCATCAGAAATTGGATTATTGATGCTCAAGAAACATTTCTTCTTATCAGTGTTGGAAACAGTTGTTCTACTCTCTCTCTCTCACACACACACGCGCGCACAAACACACACACATGCATGCATACATATATATATATATATATATATATATATATATATATATATATATATATATATATATATAAAAAAAAAAAAAAA